CCGGGGGCTGCAGCAGGCAGGGAGCCCAGCCTGCCTTGGGGGTGCTGCACGGCTGATGGGTGGCTGGGAATTCTCCTGGCCACAGCCTGCCTCTGGCACCCTAGCCCCTCCCTGCCACAACCCTCTGCTCCTCCCACTCAAGATACCCAAGCCCTCTGTTCCCACCCATACCCCCACCCAGATCTGGCACTCCAGTCTCCTGCCCCAGATCACAATCCCCTCCTATCCTAGGTCACCATCTTCTCCTTCACCCAAACTCCCTCACAGACTCCAGGCTCCCTTCTGTACCCCGATCCCTTACTCCAAGATCCCCTCTGCAACCAACCTCCATCCCAAACCCCACATCTCCTCCATTAATATCATGGAAGAGTGTGGCCCTTGACCACTTTCCAAAATCTTGGAGTGGTCCTCCGTCAAAAATTATTGCCCACCCTTGGGCTATTGTGTTCCAGCTAAATGTCCTAGCAACGTTCTATGTACCTTCTTTCTATAGTCATTATTCCTGCCTTTGGCATAATGTAAATTTTCGTTTTTGCCTTAGCCTCATAACTTGGTATGTTTTATTTCAAAGACATTGATCTCTGTTTCCTAAATACACCATAGTTAGCAGTATCTGCAATAACAGCTTTTATTTAGTGTTGGTTGAGAAATTTTGATCAGTGACTTTTTTCCACTGGAAAAATCAAATACAGGTGGACTCCCTGATTCAGCGCATTCAGGACCAGGGTTCAGGACTGCTCAGGAGTATGCCAGATATGGGGAGGTCAAGTTTGCTTTCCCAGCTGTCAGTTCTGCTCCTGGATACCAGCCCGAGACACTGGTCTTTGCTCCAGGCCAGGGGTTGGCAACCTTTTCAAATAAAAAAGCTGAATTGCATGAAAATTCGGAACAAGTGGTTAACAAAGAGCTGTATAAAAATGCCCATTTGCATGACTGAAAATATACAACTTACTATTATTGATAACTGACATGATGAATAGCATAAATGAAACATTGTAGTCACAGACATTATTTAATGGGACTTCTGCCATAGTATCTTTTCGCATATTTTTTGAACTTTACATGATAACTGGTTACATCCAGCTTCACGCACACATTCAGGCTGTCTTCTGTCAATCTTATGGCAGGAGATGTGGGGGTGCAGGAGTTAGGGGATGTGAGGGTATGAGGGTTTAGGGCAGGGGATTCAGGAGTACAATGGGCTCATGTCAGAGTTAGGGTGTGGGGGGTTGCAGGAGTGTTATGGCAGGGGTGCAGGAGGTTGGGTTGAGGTGTATGAGGGGCTATAGGTAGGGGGTTGGGTGTATGATTGGCTTAGGGTGCAGTGTATGTATGGGGGGCATGAAGGAGTGCTATGACACTGCAGCCAGATGAGGTCTGGGCCTCAATTGGGGCTTGTTCGCCAGGCTTCATTCTTAAATAAAGTAAAATATTATGTTGAACAGACAGGGTTTCAGTGTTTTCTTTCTTTATGGCAGGGGCAGGGAACCTATTTTGGGTTGGGAGCCACAGACCCACAAAAAAATCAGTCAAGAACCATACACGAGCGGTGCAACTCTCCCCTCCCCCCCCCCCAAAAAAAACCCCTCCAAAATCCACAGTCCCTCACTGATGTGGCCCCCAACTGAAACACCTTACTCCCCTGGTGCTTCAGCCCCATGGTGGGGGGAGGAAGACAGGGAGGACTGCACTCTTCAGTGACTCGCCCTTCCAGCCTGCTTTCTCGCCTATGGCAACTTGGAGGACTACATCTGCCATAAGAGACTTCATTGTTAATCATGTCATATGACATGGAACGAACACACATATACATATACATATACATATACATATACATATACATATACATTCTGGGAGATTCAGTCCAAAAAAGGATCCTGTTCTGTAAGATGGAATGGGGCTCAAAACAACAACTTCCATGAGACTGGGGGTACGTCTAGACTACAGGCTTTTTGTCAACAGAAGTTTTGTCAACAGGTACTGTTAACAAAGCTTCTGTCAACAAAGAGCATCTAGACTACATCCAGTTCTGTCGACAAAGCAAGCCGCTTTGTCGACATGACAGTGTAGATGCAATAACGCCTTCTGTCGACAGAACTCAGTCGACAAAAGGCGTTATTCCTCATATAATGAGGCTTACAGCCATCAACAAAACTGCTGAGTTCTGTTGATGTTATGTCGACAGAACTCAGCAGCAGTGTAGAGGCAGGCATAGTTTTGTCGACAAAAGTCCACTTCTGTCGACAAAACCCTGTAGTCTAGACACACGCTATGTGCGCTGAAGAAATGTAGGTTAATGTTGAAATAAGTCAAAAAAACTCATTTAGGTTATTTTAGCAAACAAAAAAATTAGTTTAATTTTGGGAAAGTTTCATTTCAGTCAAAAATGTAATAACAATGTTATAAATTTACAAATTGAAATTCTCCACAGAATGTGATAGTATGCAAAATCTAAAAATTTAATTTTTTTTTTATCCAATTTTGGGACAAAAACAAATGCCGAAATTTCCCTTGGGACAGAGATCTAATATCGTTTGCTCAGCTCTATTTTTATTAAATTGTTACTTATAACCAGGGCTCGCCGAGCAGCGGTGAGCCCCGCTCACCAGTCGCGCGTTTCTGCGCTCTGCGCATGCGCAGATCGCTCTGCTCTGGCTCTTCCGGGGTGTAAACTACTTGCCACAGGCGAGTACAGTACATTGTTTGTCGAGCCCTGCTTATAACTACAAGTTTATATTGTAGACTAGAAATACAATAAGCCACCAGTTTATCTACAGGCTAATTGTTGCTACAGTAGTTTTCTTTTTCCTCTATTGGAAAACAAAACCCCTCATAAATGGTGTATCACAAAGACCTCACTCCAAATGTAAAGAGTTTTTCTGTATTGTATGCCTCTTGACAGCATATTTAAATTTCTCTGACCTTCCCAAGCAAAAAATACTAGGTCCCTTGTGGTATTTTTTTTTCCCCCTCTTGATTCTCAGTCTGAATAACAGATTCACTTTGGGAATGATGACTTGAAGTGGATGCTCCTTTTCATGAAGGAAAGTACTGAGTAATGGAAACAACTGATTTTTATTTCAATTTAATACTTTGGACAACAAAAAATTAGTCTGAGGTCATTTCCCTGACTCTTCCTGGCTCACTTTTTTAAGACTATTTGAGAATAATTTTTGACAGGTCAAATGACTAAATTAAAAAATGTGTGGTTTGAGCTAGAAAACTGTTCCCCAGATTCCAGCTTTGTGTTTAAAAGACAATTAATTATACTCAAAATTTAAAGCAAAGAAAAAAATGCCATAAATATTTTTTTTATAACTTCCTATTAAATATCTATTCCCTAAGTGAGGGTGAATAGATATTTTAGTGAAGTTGGTTCTGGGGCTATAAAGGTAATCCAAAATAATTAAAATCGGAATCCTTTCAACAATTGCCTGAAGCAAACACCCATAGTGAACTTATATACAAAATGAATTCCCTTCTCTTCCCAATTTAAAAAAAATCCAGGAAGGTGGGTGGACAGATGGATTGATTTTTATCAGAATATTATTATTTGCTTCTCAAGATAAATATTAACCAGTGTGTTAGTTTTAATATAATGTGCTCTAGAACTCAGTCTGCACGTACATAGATGGTTCTCTTGTCTTCGATATGAAAAAATCTGCATTTTTCACTCATGCTAGTTCAAATTCTGGTTGTTAGTATTAGGTAATTAAGATATTTGCTCTTCTGCTTAAGGAAGACTTTATGAAAGGGACATGCTATCTTTTCCTGTGTGTGGAAACTGATATGTAATTTACAGCTTTCCCTCAATCTACAGTGAAGTTTTGCATCTAATAAATAGTTTCATAACTAATGTACCATTTTTCTTTCTCTAGACACTTCAGCTGCTGACTTCAATTTATCCTCTTTGCAAGGTAAATTTTACAGAGCTGAATAGTGAAATAAGAGTGCATATGTAAACTCTAGTTGAGAGTTGTAGTTCAATGATATTTCCATTTATTGACTGAAAGGTTAACAAGGAAAATTTGTTCCTCTTTGTTTCTGAGGACAGGACAAGGAGTAATGGGCTTAAAGTGCAGCAGGGGAGGTTTAGATTGGACATTAGGAAAAAATTCCTAACTGTCAGGGTGGTCAAATATTGGAATAAATTGCCAAGGGAGGTGGTGGAATCTCCCTCTCTGGAGATATTTAAGAACAGGTTAGATAGACATCTGTCAGGGATGGTGTAGGTGGAGCTTGGTCCTGCCTTGAGGGCGGGGGACTGGACTCGATGACCTCTTGAGGTCCCTTCCAGTCCTATTATTCTATGATTCTAAGTACCTTCATGTCCTATAATATGAGACTTGCACGAGGTATTATTACCAAAGTTGGTACACTGCCTATCATACAATACATTTTACTTCAGGGTAGCTCTTTGATCAATGCAAAAGGATGTTCTTTATGAGCTGCTGTAGTACTGAATGATCAAAACATTTTTACTAAAAGGTTAATTCTGGAACCCTGATGTGAGTAGAGGCATACAATGGTTAGTTCTTCTAGTGATTTACATGTGACTGCTTGGCTAAATCAGATGGTAAATAAAGTTTCCCCATGATTAAGGAAAATTAATCCATAACTAGGAAATGTTTGAATTCAATGATTTCCAGGCTGAAAAGTTCCCCACCAACAATGTTTACTTCAAAAAAGGCAGAATATCTAAGCAGCTTGCTTTGCTTCTCTCCTTACAAAAGATAAACCAAGAGTTGTAAGTTTTCCACATAGATTTTTCTAAGCAAGCATTTTTAATGTGTCCTTAAATTAAAAGGCTCCTCAGCCATCATATGGAGGGGTCCGCAATGATTTCCAGGCTGAAAAGTTCCCCACCAACAATGTTTACTTCAAAAAAGGCAGAATATCTAAGCAGCTTGCTTTGCTTCTCTCCTTACAAAAGATAAACCAAGAGTTGTAAGTTTTCCACATAGATTTTTCTAAGCAAGCATTTTTAATGTGTCCTTAAATTAAAAGGCTCCTCAGCCATCATATGGAGGGGTCCGGGCTCACTCCCACCCCCAGAGCAGTGGTGAGATCCAGAGCAGCCTAGTAGCCTACTCCACTCTGCTGCCCTCACCCAGTCCACTGTGTAATCACTTTATATCAAGTTTTAATTTGGATTTCTGGATGCATGATTTAGCACACATTGTATTCATGAGACTTTACTCTCCTGGCATATGAGCACTATACATTACATCTGTGTTTCATAAACCATGCCTTTACTTGTGATCTGCAGAATGACAATGCTATGAATTGAGAGGGACTGGATAGTTAAAAGGGGACATGATGTATAGGAGAGAATCTTTCTCCAAAACACAAAGAAATACAGATTGAAAGAGGTGCCTTGCATTCTCCTCCCGCTTTATGCACTCAGAGTTATCCCATGTGTATGTGACATGGGTTGTCAATATTTGTGCACTTAAAACATTTAGTTTTTCTACAGGCCATGTGACATTTTCAAGCATAACCAGTTACAGGCAGTCCCCGAGTTACACGGATCTGACTTACAGCTGGGCTGTCAGCTGACCGCGTGCTCCGCAGCTTTGCTCTGCTTTGCTCCCCGTCCCCCTGGTCTGCAGACCAGGGGGACGGGGAGCAAAGCAGAGCAAAGCCGCGGAGCCTGGGGTTCTTAAGTTGAATCTGTATGTAAGTCAGAACTGGCATCCAGATTCAACTTAAGAACAAAACTACAGTCCCTATCTTGTACGTAACCCGGGGACTGCCTGTACTTTGTAGAATCCTGATTGAGTGAAACCACTGCTGCCAGGTTTAGCAAGAACTTGGTGTCTTTTTTGCCATGACTTATACCTAGTTTATGTGCTCTTCATATTGAGGTGTCGTCACACTACCATTGTCACATCTTCATTTAGGCGTATGTCCATGGATTTGTGTGATGATGACATGCTAAATTAAAAACACTACATTCATAGTACATTTATTTTTCTTCCGTTCAGGAACCTGAATCTTGGCAGTTTATGTGGAAGTCTAAAATTTTAATTTAAACTAAAATCTTGTTGAACACGATTGACTGTTTAGTGTAATGTTAATATAAGAGTACTTTTCACATACTGTGGCAAGTAGTAAAATTTATGCTAACCTATGATGGCTTCAGGAGAAGAATTAATGCAAAAAGCATGGTAATATCAAGAAGCTTGTTCAAATTGTACTTTCAAAAGACTACTGATACAGGATTTTTTTTACTACACAGTCCCTTACCAGCCTGTTAGGATATACCAAACATAACATGTATGCAACAAATACTAGAATTATTTTCCATTTTAGATTCCTGCCACATGTCTCAAAACCTAAGTACTTTGAAGGAGAAAGAAAATAAAGGATTTTTCAGCTTTTTTCAGCGAAGCAAGAAGAAACGAGAACAAGTAAGATGACATTTTGCTTTAAAAATGACGAAATATATTCACAGGACAATCAGATTTTGCTGGTTCATATGCTCTCAAAATGTTTTATCTTTTTCCCTCTCCTTTTTAAGACTGCCAGTGCCCCAGCCACTCCTGTGATGAGCAAGGCCAGGCCAACTTTTATCAACCGATCTAACACCATTTCCAAGCAATATGACTCCAACACATTGCCATCTGAAATGCCAAAGAAGCGGAGAGCACCCTTGCCTCCAATGCCTTCATCTCAAAGTGTCCCACAGGATCTTGCACATGCCCAAGTCAGACCCACATCATCCTGTATAGTGAAATCAAGGAGTGTTGATGAAAATGAACAGGTGAGATATTAAACTTTTCTTCTCCACCTCCTCACCCACTTCATTTTCATTGATTGAGAATATCTACTGCAGTGGTATTTCTGGTGGGGTTTGAAACAAAATTAGTTACATTATATAAGCAAAAAGTCCTATTTTCTGAGCATGTAGTAGTGAAACAAGAAATATTTCACACTGTTTCATTTGAAGAATGCATGTTTAGCAGTTGGATAAAAGCCAGATAGCGAAGATTCATATAATTATTTTTAAGGCTCTGATTTTTTTTTCTAAAGACACACAGATTGCTTATTTTTAAAGTCACTGGCACTGCACAAATGCTTAAGGAAAACACTATTTTGTAACAAGTAAGTTTTCATTTGATAGGAGTTCCCAGTCTCAACTTGTTCCATTGTGCTAATAGCTTACATACTTGCACACATTATGGTATACAGTAATATGTCCATTACTACACAGGGGATTGGGGTTTTGTCATTGTTAAATGGTCTCACTTAGTTCTTTCTAGTAAAATGCAGTTTAGTGTGGTGTTCAAAAAAGTCTTCTAGTCTAAACTATTAAAAACAAATCGCACTTGTGGGAATTACATTTACTTTCTGAGTGCACAAAGATGTTGAACTTAATAAAATTGTTTGCTTGTATAGTAACACGTTTGAATTAAGTTATGAGGCGCTTGAACTTATTCCAACAAGTTTTGGGGAAAAATTAATGCATTGGGTAATATCTTGGTAAAGCACAGATTGTCAGTTGTGAATTCCAATTAAAGATCAAGGATAAAAGTGTCAATGTAAATTGACACTGCATATTTGTATGTTGCACTGTGCTTTGAATAAGGAGTAAAAGGCATTATTTTTAAATAAATTAGACTACTGGCATGCCAGACAGATAAAAATGAAATACTGAATGAAAAATAGGCTTGAGAGATGAATTGGTGCTATTCCCATAAACAAAAATTCTCAAATGAGCCATTTAGTCTAATTTATTCTTTACACAATACTCTTCATTTATAGTTAACATGAAAAAAACCACAAGAGAGCACTGTCTAACAGAAGTTCTAAATTTTGGCCTGTATTTGGCTAAGAAGCTTTGTCATTTGAAGAGAAGAAAAATATTTTTCTTTTTTCAAGTGTAAAATTAAGTTTGTCTTGATCTGTTTCATGTCTCTTCACTGTAACAATGAAGGGAAAACTATGTGCTACTCCACTTTCTGATCATATTTGCGAACAGTGCTGGTATTCAATAAAACATTTCTGTAGCATCTGGGGAAGAGTTCAAGGAGAAGAAATTCTGTGACATAAGAGAGAGTTTGCTTTAAAATTAGTAAGTCCTGGGGCATTGATTGTGACTATTATAATTTATTTGTATTGGCACCTACAAGATATAAACTTAGAGTTGGCTCCTTTGAACTAGTCCTTTGAACTAGTTCTTTACAAATATACAGTAAGAAACAGTCCTCCCCTAAAGAATTTTCAGTCTGAATGGAAAAGACAAGCCAAGGCCTCTGGATCTTAACAATCTCACAAGCAGTGTTTGTTGGTCCATATTTGTGTCCTTATTCTTTGTGCTCTGTACCAAGGATATGAGACAGTACAGATGAACTGCCTCTCCAGCTCCTTCCTCTACCGTTGCATAGCCTGTATGAAACCTCTAGTGCCAGAACTGATACCATTGAAATACTTAGAGATGGAGGTCACCAGTTTTAACTGTACATAGTGTTCATACCATTTTTTCTCTCTAGTTAGTTATTAAAAATGTTCCTCCAGGGAGTCTCCCTGCCCTTGGTACAGGTTTAACTTTAGATTATGATTAGGTTAATGAGACTTTTTTTTAATAGCTTTGTCTCCTGTCCCTGCTTTTTTTCCCAAGCTGTGATGGCCAGTATCAGCCTCTCTGAGGCAATAAAGGCAACGGAGTATTTGCCATTCCTTTCCTAGGCTAATTTGACAGACGCATGAACTTTAGCTTAGGAAATAACTCAAGGAGTTTTAATGAGATCCCAAAGAGACCTGGGATACAGTACTAGTCTGCATATCACCCAGCAGTGTTGAGATGTAGGCCTCCTGGCACCATGATGTTTGATTCAGGAGTGGGATGGAGCAGAACTGAAGACCTTTCACTGCTGGCTTTCATAAGAACAAGAGACAGTTTCGTACAGGTAAAAGTGTATCTCCCTCTAACTCTACTTTGAAGAGGGGAAATCCTTCTCCTGTCTGACAAGTCTTTGGACCCAAGCCCTAAGGATGTAAGGCCTCCTAAGTCTCATAGCTATGATAGTTCATGAGAGCAGGACTTCCTCAGAACTCCTGCTATATTAACAAGGCATAGCTGGTGGCACTGATCAAAATGAAGCACTGGAATCTGAAGGAGCAGTACTGACAAGAGTCTCATTTAGTGTCACTCCTTCTCCTGTCTGACAAGTCTTTGGACCCAAGCCCTAAGGATGTAAGGCCTCCTAAGTCTCATAGCTATGATAGTTCATGAGAGCAGGACTTCCTCAGAACTCCTGCTATATTAACAAGGCATAGCTGGTGGCACTGATCAAAATGAAGCACTGGAATCTGAAGGAGCAGTACTGACAAGAGTCTCATTTAGTGTCACCCCATACGGGCGTGTAGGGCACTGAACCTCACCAAGACACTTCCTCCATGGATACCAGAGGTGTAATGTGTTATGGCTGTGGAAGAGAGCATTGATTTATGACTCCCTGAAGGATCTTGTCATCTTCCTAGATCAGCAATCTAGGAAACAACTCTGTCGTCAGGCTGATTCTCACAAGGGAGAGCCTGATCCCGGTTGAATATGGGAGCCCTGAGAAGTCTATCCCCTATCCAATCAGCAGTGGTAACCAGACTTCAGCACAGATTGTGTTGGCCATGGAGCTGAGCCTAATCTTTTCCTCATCAGAGGAGTCAGGATGCTAGGAGAACTGTAAGTCATATCCACAAACAGTCCAGACTGGCTTCATTCCATCACCCTGAGATGTGCATTAGCATTTTACGGGCAAAAAATAAAGCCTATCAAAAAGTCACTTCGATTGTTCACTCGTTCCACTCTAGTGTCAAATAGACAGGCTGTTACCCACATTAATTTATCTATCCCTTCCTTTACCTAGTTTCTAGGGCTCAGGGTAAAACTTCCTGCAGGTTTGCAGGATCTTTAGCCACTGAAAGAGCTTCACACAGTAACATACTTCTTCTCTATTTATTGACAATTCCCAAGCAAGCAGAATACACATGCTAAGCATACAATGTCATGCTCACCGATCCTGATACAAGCAGGCAGACGTCCCCTGTTGGCCAAGCAAGGTCAGCCTCTCTGAGTCTTAGCTCCTGCACGTCACGGTTGTGCAGAAGAATCCTCTGGTCTTAGGCTGTGTCTTGGAGGTGGGTGGTTCTTCTTGGTGTTCCTTTCGCTTCTTGTTTCCCTTTTGCTCTAGTAGCTGGTCTCCATCTTGGACCCCAGTTGATATAGTGAAATGGTATACAGCTGTGAGGCTACAGTATCCACTGCAGCTGGCAAGCAGGGAGGTGAAGAAAGCAAACTCACCCCCTCGTGAGCTGTGGAGCTAATGGTGGAGGAGTGCTGCCACTGTGGTATAAGTGGCGCTCCCTCGGTTGGTCATGTGAGGCAGGGAGCAGGTTGGGCTGCACAGGGCTTGGCCAGGCAGGGTGGGCTTTCATGATTTGCGAGCGGACACCGCCCCCTTTTTTTCCCAGTGGCAGGTTGGGCTGTGCTATACCTGGCAGTGGTGAGAGGAGGCGACACTGGGACTGAGGACCCTGCACACGCAGGAGGCAGGTAGTACCTATTGGGGCTTTGCACCAAAGTTGTCTCTAAGCTGCACGGGTGAGGCCTGCACAGAGGTTCAAAGCTCCCCAGGCAGGCAGAGAGATCAGCTGATCCCTGGGGGCAGGCCTCTGTTAAGGGCAGCTAAATGCTGCCTGTGGCATGTTTGAAATGGAAGACAATCAGCAGATAAGCAGGAAGTGAATGGCTGGAATTATTAATTGGCTGGGAGGAAAGTCCTGTCGGAGGATGGAGAGAGGCAGAAACCCAGCAGTCTTTTCAGTCCTCCTGAGCTGGGCAGTGGGAGGTAAGGAACTGACTGCATGGGGTAGGTTGGGGGAAAGAGGGAGTGGTTGACTGATCTGTGCAGTGAGGTAGAGTCAGGGAGCAGTTTGTTTAGGGTGTCTGACTCACTGCTGTCCTCTGTTAGGCTGGTTTGGAGGGGTGGGGGAAAGTCTGGCCCACCCTCCCCATTCCCCTACTCTCCATCACTTGCTGTCCCCAGCCCTTACTCACTCTCATTGGGTTGAGACACGATGGGTGGGAATGAGGGATTTGGGTGTGGGAAGGGGTGAGAGGTGCAAGCTCTGGGAGGGAATTTGCATGGAGAAGAAGATGTTTGCTCCAGTCTGGAGAGTGTTGGGTGAGGTGGAGGGTTGGGGTGCTGAGCAAGCTGCAGACTTGTGGATATTGGGGTGCAGGAGTTTGGGCTGGAGTGTATGAAAGGCCCAGGGCACCAGTTTGTGGTGTGTGGGTGGTGCAGGAGTTTGGGGACATGGGAGACTTTGGGCAGGGGGTTCAGGTGTATGATAGGCTCAGGGTTGGGGTGTGTGGGGTGCAGTGGGATTTATGATGCTGCAGCCAGTTGGGAGCTTGCTGGCCAGGCTTCATTTTTATATAAAATATTATGTCCAACACACAATGTTTCAACATTCTTTATTTATGGGAGGGCAGGGAACATTTTTTTGGTGCAGGTGGGCCACTGACCCACAGAAAAATCAGTCAGGGACCACACTAGTGAGATGCAAAAAAAAGTCCCAAAACCCCCAACCCTCACTGAGACCCCAACTGATACATCTCCCTCCTGTGGTGCTGCCATCCCATGTTGCCAGTGAGTGGGTATGGGATGGGGGTGCATAATCTGAGTGGGAAGTAGGGTACAGGAGCAAGCTGGGGGTAAGTGTCTGGCTGGGAGGGGGCAGGGTACTGTTGGGTGTCTGCCCAACGGAGAGGAAGTAGGAGCAGAGTGCTAAGGCAACTCAGCCAGTATCTGGGGGTCTCCAGGGATGAGTGTATCATGGGAAGGATCTATAGGCAGGGTTGGAAGAAGTGCACGTGCAACTTTGAGAAATCCAGCCTCTCCGGATACTCCACTGCTATCTTAAGCCCCTCCTCCAACCAACCCTTCCTTCCTGGTGAATAGGAGAAGGAAGGTAAGGCAAGAAAGCATGTGCATTGCTGTGGAGAGAGGAGGAACAGTGTGCACACTTCCTGGGAAGTTGGATCTGGTGTGGAACCATGGGACTTTTCCCTCCAACAGGATGCTGGTTTTGACTCTGATGTTGTGAAAGGTGGGTAGGCTGTAGCACTAGCACAGGTTCTGTGTTGCGGCTGGGGAACAAGAGCAAGGTGGGGCTGGGAATGCTGCATCAAGAATGACAGGCAGTGCCTCCATGATCAACCACTTGATAGCAATTGACCCATGCTTCCCCCCCTCCCCCCCACTCCTTGCTGCCTCAGTATCAGAGGCAGCAAGTGGAGCAGGCGGGAGCTGGGTTTTAAGCTGGCTCTCTGAGTGGGCCGGCTCCCACAGAGTCTACTGTTCCCCCTCTCTCGCTGCCTCCCACGGGCAGCAGCGCGGGAGAGGGGAGAACAGGCATGATTCAGTGCTAGGTGGAAGGGGTGTGGGGGAGAGCCAGCTTAAAAGCTGGCACCCCACAAGCACTGGTTTCAGTGGGGCTGCCTGTCCTCTGCAGCTGCCTCTGATGGAGGCAGCAGTGTGGAGGTGGGGGGACAGGCAAGAGCTGGTACTGAGAATATCAGCTCATGTGGAGTTGCCTACTCCCCTGTTCCTCTTCTCTCCTCCCTCCCCTCTGTACTGCTACCTCTATATCCGAGACAGCAGTGGAAGCAGGCTGGAGTCCGTGCTCATGGGGCGCTGGCTTAAAACCTGGCTCCCCCACAAGCACCGGCTCCCATCTGCCCCTATACATGTAAACGTTGTTTCTTGTCTTCCTCTTGCTAGACATGGACGGCAATTGATTATGGTCCTCTTTTTGTGACTGACATTTAGTTAGGTTTGTCTTGGTATCCCCTATCCTGTCCTCAGGGCAACCTTGTGCTGTTTCATGTGACTAAGTGGCAATGTCCTAATGTATCAGTAATTACATCCTGTTAGGATGCCCTTTAATAGCAGCCAACAGTGTCACACGCAAATAGGGTGTCCTACACATACTAAAACTTGGCACCGTATTTTTCCCTAAAGGTATTAATTCTGTCTTTTTAAAAATATTTGTCAAATAAAAATTACACATGTATAGCACTGACCAATTTATTTTGAAGTTGGTGTTAAATCCTATTTTTTTTTTTTTGAACAAATGTCAGCTTACTTTAAGACACAATTGGTGTTGAGAAGTAGCTTGATAAATGAACAGTATCCTACTCCATGGATATTGACAAGGTCAAGAATTCTGCTGTCAGTGTGTTTCTGAATTATGGAGGGATCATCCGTAAAAGAGATTTGTGAGTCTGTTTATGCCAGTTTTTCTCCTTTGTATTCTACGTCATGAAGTGGACTGCTTAATAGAGGCACAAACAAAAGTCCTTTGAAGTTGACCCCCAGGTCTGGCTTCAATGTAGATTCTACTACCATAAAATGAATGTCATTGCTGGATTTTATTATGCTGTCAAATAGACAAGTAACAGTGATCAAAATTGCTGCTGGAATGGACATCTGTGACCAGGGATAAAACATATTTCTTTATCACCGGGATCCTGAAAGTAATCACTCTGAGATGTGGAAATACAAGGTTACTTCAATATGAAGGCTAATAGCTGTTACAATGACAGGCAAAATTATGGCAACTATCTTTTCAGTTTTATCACTAGTTCAGCATCTCAAAAATTCGATTTTTTTTTAATGCATACTGGAGTACCATAGCAACATACTGTATAAACTAAGTTCCCATCAGATACCCTATGCCTTTGTATTTTGATACTTCCATGTTGAGTGTACACTGGCAAAGAGCTAAATCCCTATTTGTGTTAGAATATTTAAGGTGTGGTGGTTGTAGTTCTGTATTTGTAATAGTTTACAATATATTTAGGAACATACCCCATCAGTTTTCTGAAACAGTATTTTTTTTTTTTTTTTTTTAAGAGCATGAGATGTTCCAGGTTACTTTGTTCATAAAATCTGAGACAACTGATTTTGTTTACTGTTAATGTTGCAATTCATTTTTCAACATCCAGCACTCTACAAGACAGATTCCCCTCACTTTACCCTCTGCCATTTTCTAATTCTTTCCCCCACTTGGGAATTGTATAAAAGCATTGCCCAGAAAAACTTAATATGTTTTTGGCTAATAGTGGATGGAAGATTCTCTGCTTTCTCGGGTATAAATTATAAATACCACTTTTGGAGTACAATAATATTTTTCTTGACATATCTTTGAATACTTCAATTCTTCTGATTTTTTTCCCCCACCACCACCTTTAGGGGCAGTCAAAACTAGGAATCGTGAGAACAGGTTCTCTGCAGCTCAGTGGCACATCATCTGTTAATTCCTCTATGAGAAGGACTAAACGCAAAGCTCCTTCCCCACCCTCGAGAAGACCACAAAACCAAAGTGACAACAGTAAAAGAACTGGTAACCTTTTTACTTTTTAATAAGGCAGAAATGGAAGGGTGGTAAGACTGTACCTACTCCAGATGACTGTACCTTGGTGGCTTAACTCTAGACCTGTCAAACACATTTCAACAGAGATGAAAACAGAACAGTATTAGAGGGAAATGTTGTGTATCAAACTTCAGTTCTATTTCAAGGTCCATAATATTGTAATAGTTGAAATGCACGAAGGGGTGTGTGTGGTGCTGGTTTGGGTTTCTTTCTTTTTTGTTTGTTTTTTTTGTTTCTGTGTTGTATGTGGGGGCGTGTGCCATGGAATTGACAGTATTGTAAGTGTGGTTGTAACAAGCTTCAGCCACCAAGATGAAAGCATTTCATTCCTTAGAAACACATTAATTGGTAAGGTCAAACTTAGAAATTTTGTTTCAGCTTTATATCTGTGTAAAAGATATAAAGGATTGTATCTTAAAATGAAGTCTGTTTGTCAATATGGTCTTTCATTTGTTTTAGCATCAGAGTCTGCAGAATCAATCCCTACTGTACAAAGTATTGTGGAAGAAAGAGACACAGAAGTACGATTTCCAACAGGTAGGTCTTCTCAGATATTATTAAAACCTAGTAGAGAGTGGTCATAATAAAAGCATGCTAGTAAAGAGAAATTGTAAAAGGGGTGGGTGGGTGTGTGCGGATATCAGGCCCATCAATGTATTTGTCTTACACCTATCCTTTAATTGGTATCCCCTGAAAAATCCCGTGGTTGTTTTCCTCCCTCCCCTCCCTTCCCCCCACACACATCTGTCCTTTAAGTAATGATGCGGCTTTATAAAGTACAAATAAGATCTTTTACAAATCATGGACTAGATCATTTAGACAGTGCCTCTATGTTTGAACTTAAATATTTGAAGTTCAGGTAACTTGGACTCAGGTAATGGCCAAAACGTTATCCATGAGGATGGGACAAAGTATTCTAGGAAAGTGAAGGTGGAAAAAGGTATTTTTTGATAGTCACTTCCTAGAAATTTAGAGTTTGAGTGTTCCAAAGTCACGATGTAATGATCACTTCATGGGTTCTATTTTTGTTTCTGAAATAATTAGTTTGTATGTGTTTGTGCTTCTGTTAGCTATTCATTACAATGGAATTTATAAGGTTTAAAATATGGTAACATTTCCATTATAAACTACTATTTTCAGAGTTTTATTTTTCTCTGAAAATCCCACTCTGGACTGAAAAAATGCTTTAAAGGGTCACACCTCCTAGAAAAGAAATTTTAGAAGAATGACTTTTTCCCTTCTAAAATGAGAAAAATGTGTCTTCCTCTCCATAATGGTTTTAGTATTGTTGTTTAAGAAAGAAGAATAAATTAACATGTAATAGAGGTATTTAACAATTGTATGTTTACTACAATTAAAAAAAATTAATTCACGAGTAGTAATCTTACAGACATGATACACAGGAAACTCTCCAAGGTACCCGAGATCCATTAAGCCAGTAGGCATAGACTAGAGTGATAGACAATAATGGGTGAACGATAGTCTGTAATTCTCTATCTCTGATGCTTTGGAGATTAATAGTTCAAAAAGAGATGTTTGACCAAGGGTGGACAAGAGGTGGCTAGTAGGCCAGATCTGGCCCACAGCCACTTCTCCAGCACCTTTACTGCACAGAGCTGCTGCTTCAAAATCTGGCACTCCATGCTCTGCATGCTGGGGAGGAATGGGGAGGCTTCCCCCCTAGCAAATTCCCTTAGCTCCCATTGGCTAGTTTCCGGCCAATAGGAGCTAAGAATTTTTTGCTGGCCGCAGCGGCAGCGAACAAAGCCTCCTCACTCTCCCCTCCCTGTGCTGGAGCAGAGCCAAGTGAAGCAGCTAGCTCAGTAAACAAGGCAATGGCAGCAGGCAAAGCCTCACTCTCCCCTCCCCATGCTGGAGCAGAGCCAAGTGGAACAGCTAGCCCAGTAGACAGGCATGGAGCCTATCTCAGATTCCTGCAGGGCTGCTGGCTGGGAACTGCCTAGGTAAGTGCCTCCCCATCTAGAGCCTGCTTCTAGCACCCTCCCCTACTTTCCCCTCAACTATCTGTCCCAGGCCACCACCCAAATGCTCTGTGACCTGGAGGAGATGGGGAGAGGGGATACAACTCTCTCCCAGATCCTGCATTTCCCTTCTACACCCCTCCCCATGCTCAGAATCCTCTCCTGTACCCATACCCCATCCTGGACCCTGCACTTCAAGCTCCTTCCCCAATGATAACACCCTCTCCTGCACCCCAGTCCTCATCCCAAGCTCCCTTCTACACCTCACCTGCTGTCCCAATCCCTGCACCCTCTCCATAGAAGTGCAGCTCATGACCACTTTCCAAATCTTGGAGTGGCCCCCTATTAAACATTATTTCCCACCCCTGTTACACTATTGTTGTCTACTATTTAAATGCTACTCCTTATTGAACAATTTGATTGCAGTCTTTCCATAGGAGATTTACATTGTAAGATCACTGATCTGCCAACTAAAAATTTCAGATGCATTTTAGTGTACAGGACGTCTCTGCTATGAGTCGTCCCGGTATATGTTGGTTCTGCACTAACATCGTTGACGCTTGTAAGAGCTGTTGAATAGCTTGAAAGGAACGCAGGTAAAAACTGTAATACACCATTGCTAGTACAGGCTGTGCTGAGTCTAAACTGGTTTGAAACCAGTGGGTATGTATTAAGGATGTTAAAATGCGGTTAATTGACTAGTCAACTAGTTGATGGAATTTCCATCGACTAGTCGATGGGCACTTCTGCAATTCTCCTTTGAAATGCACAAGAGCCCCATCTTGCATTTGGACTACACATTGGCAATAGACTTGGGCATGAAGTCTAAGGAAACAGTCCTTAGGAAATGCCAACTAATGCACAATGCTGAAGAATGTCTCTTCAGTAGCAGGGGCTGCCTCAAGTATGTTGTCCTGTGTGCTCTAAACCAGTTGCCAGAGAATATCTAGTCAAGTCAAAGTCTCAGTGGAAGACCATAGCTAACACTGCTGCTTAGTAGGTAAAGTAGAGCTATCCTGCCGCCAGGGTAAAGCGCACAGTAAAGAGGTGGTGCTTTCTTGGGAGATGGCCCTGAAACTGCAACATAAATTCCCACTAGAAATGAGGCTGAAACAAGCTTCTTTTGCTCCATGTGCAAAGATAACTTTTCACCTAGTTTTCTCTAACATAAACACGTAGCAATGTTGGAGGGCGGGGGAAGACACTGGCAAAAGAGCTTCCCCAGCAAAGGAAAATGCTGTGCCTCAGATGACATTCTTCTCTCCCCAAAAGGAGAATCCATACATCACATAAATTTAAGCATCGTGACTAGTGAGCTACTGGAAAGCCCTCTGGCATTACATTATAAAACCCTATAGAAGAGCACCATGTGCCTGTCTGGCCTTCATGATTTAGTTTCTATCCACAAGTTGAGTTAATGCTGCAGTGACTATTTTATGTGATTATGTTAAATCTTTCACACTATTTTAAAACTTCATTGCTTCCAGTGTTGAGTTATCCTTACAGGTTATGACTTAACAGTTGTTCTGGATTTGAACTTTTCTCAGTCTTTATACAGTTCTGTAATAATACTAGCTAACATGCTGTGCAGCCTGTGTTGAGGGCAATTTGTGATTTCTCCCTAATTTTTGAAGAATTTTCCAGGATCCTTGTGATTGACTTTTTTCTACCACTAGTTACTTCATCTTTTAGCTCCCAGCTGCTATTTTGTCCCCATTCTTACAGCCTTCATTTCTGTAGAGAGGGTCTATAATTATCAATTTACCAAAATAGCTTTTCTGGAATAAAAGCTTTTGTACATACGTGGGGAGGCAGAGGAATTATACTAAAAATAACTATTCTGGAATAATTATTCAACAATTGTATTAGTAAATTTCCAAGGTATATAGCCTAATACATTTTGAATAAGAAGCAGTACAAGCAAAAACACAACTAACTGATTATTTGTAAAGACTGTTTACTAATGTTTTTAAAATAGAAATCTAATTGTAAGAAGGTTTGTGGTAGGAGGTGAGTGGACCCAGGGCAATTTAGTATCTCTAGAAATTAAGTGACTACACTTGAGTTCAGGAGTAGAAAAAATGATGGGTGAACATTTCATTTTTTTTTAAATATCCAGATAAAGATCAACAAAATTTCCAAAATTTCTTTTTACTGAAATAATTCAGGACAATGTCAGGTTAGATTCACATGTTGGCAGGGCTCCTCTGACACCCAGCTGCCATCTGGCTTAGGACACTCACTTGGGAACAGGGAATTGAATTCAGCCTTGAAGATTTGATTGTGATTATGCCTTGTATGGTATTATAGGATCAAAGTTGATAGTTATACATTTGAGTTGAGTATATTTCTATTTGGAGAAATGCATTTTAAAATTTCACAGTACATTTACCATTACATACTTGAATTATGTTTTCCAGCAAAGTTTGATAACTACTGGGTTGGTCCCATGTCAATCAGTGGAAAATCACCCAGTGATCTGACTGGGACTAGTTTTGGATCTTGTCTGGTCTCTTAAACTGTCAGGTGTACTGCTTTTGATTGTATAAAGCCATATTATTTTTTGCTGATTTTGAGAATAACAAAGTGTTTTATCAGGGGGGGGGAAAAAACAGTATAGTGATCTGTTGAATCTAGAATTGGTATTTTTCTAGAACCATGTTTATTGCTAAGTACAACAGGTTGGGCCTCCCTGATCTGGCATCCTTGGGATCTGAGCGGTCCCAAACCAGGGATTTTGCCGGACCAGGGGAGATCAAGGATTACCACTGCCACTGGCTCCTCTGAGGCATCTGTCCTAGCCACTGGACTCCACTCCCAGCCCTGTCCACTGAGATCCACTCCTGGTCCTGGCTGGGGCTATGTTCCTTATCACCTAGTGGCAGGGGTTCCTGTCTGCGGGAACTTTTGCTGCTGGCCAGGGCTTCGCTCCTGACCCTGGCTGCCCATGCTCCCAGCCAGGCACTCTGGTCCAGTAATATCCATGGTTCTGCTGGACCACGGATGTTGCTAGACTAGAAAGTGCCTGATTTCAGAGGTTCAACCTGTACAGATTTTTAAACAAATTAAGCTTCAGTAGCATTCACAGATGCTAAAAAAAAAAATAAAACTATGGCTAATTGAATAGGAAAACCATATAGTAAATCCTGTAGAAATTTAAATTGTCAGACTTTGCTGTTTTGTGTGATTTCTTTAGAAAATTTGCTTCAGTTTACTATTTTAATTATAAATGCTTTGTCCCTTGATTTTTACACTCTAGGTGATTGTTCTGTGAGTGCAGCTGGAATTTGCTCTGAGTATAGACTGGATGAGATCAATGAAAAGGAAGAAAAGAATATACGACTCAAAGAAGAAAATGATAGTGCAGATAGCTCTTCTATGACACAAGAGGTTTCTCCTGCCTTCGTTTCTACTGATGCATCACTAGATACCAAAAAAAAAGATTCTGCTCCATCATCTTCAGTTTTTGGCAGTAGTTCTGTAGAGAACCCACAAAGTTCCAAGGAAGAAAATATGAGCACAGATGGCAAGTAAGTATTCTAAGAAAGGGGGAGAACAACTAAATCAGACTATGAATACTTCATTGCAAAGACTAGAGTAGATTTATAAGAACATGGCATAAGAATTAGTATTTCAAAGTTATATATTTTTTGTCTTCTATAGGAGGTTCATTACACATAGTTAAAGGTGGTTAAAAGCATAACCACATAAAGATTACAGGCTAGTCTGTTTATGCCCATTTTTCCTCACTTAATAAACAAAAGGCAGTTATATTCAGGTTTCACATAGTAATAGAAATGATAATAGATTAAAATATTCTTTCATTGTTAATTACTTAACCAACAGTCCCCTTCATTGAACAAAAGTAAGAAATCGGGTCAATTACCTGTCACAACAGAAAGCACTGCTACAATATTATGCTGCCAATTTTGGGGAGAACAGAAAGAATGGTCTTCACTGTTAAAAGCTCTTCACTTTTATGGGCATAATTCTAATTTTTTAAACTTATCAATGTGTTTTCCTGTTTCTTCACCCACAGGTTTTACCCATGTATCCTCAGAGAACACTGCTCATTCTTTCTCTTTTTTAACTTGGGAAAGATGTAAATATCTGTTTCATTTTTTTTTCTTTCTGATTCTCTGCAGTGGCTGACTTGGCTCTTGAGCCTGTATAAATAAACCACCTGACTCAGCAGACTTTTGACATGAAAGTGCCTGCTGGAAATGAAAGCTGATTGACCAGTTCCATAATATTCATTTAGTCTACCATTCTTCAGTTCCCAGAGGGGAGTAAGCTGGCCGTTCTACCCAGTCTAAATTGGAAAAAGGCTTTTTAAAAACATTATACTGGAGCAAACGTCTATGAGAACTTGTAGTACACCATAACCTCCAAAACACTGTTAGTCATTTTGACGAGAGTTAGCCAGGACATGTTTTTTCCCATCCCACTCACCTCTTCAAGATTTCAGCAGTTTTCCATATCCATTTGAACTTCAGGCTTCTGTTTTTGGGGGCATAGAGCACCTCAACACAGAAGAGCCAGTAGCCTGATAGTTACTCGGCTAGGATATGAGAGAGATTTAAATGTTTGGTATGAAAACAGGGTGTCTCTCATCCCAAGGGAATATCCTATCAATCAGGTTCTTGGCTATTTCGGGATGGGTGTGTTTCTGACCAGAAATTTCATATCAAATCTGAGAATTCTGTCCCGATGAAAATTAATTGAAACTGGCATTTTTCCATGAGTAATTGTGCTTCTGACAAAACAACATTTCCTAATGGCAAAAGCTGTCTTGCTGAAAAATTCCTGACCAATTCCCATTCTGATTTTGATCTCTGTTTTTTAGTCAGGTCAGGAGGGTTTTGCAGAAATCCCTACTCTGTCAGCTAAAAAGAAAATTATATAGCATACCTAACAAAATGTCAAGTTCACTCATATTCTCTCACCAAAAGTAGTGTCAAACTTAGTGTTGTACGTGGACAAACACTGTGTCTGATTTTTCAGCTGTACCAAAGCTCCCTCTCTTCAGCTATACTAAGTAGAAATGCAACAGTTGATTTTAAGATGTCTTGAACTCTCCAATTTCCAGGACTATTGAGGGCCAGTTTGGTCTCTTTCATATTAGAGCAGCCCCAAATCTGCTCTTAGTTCTCTCAGCCTGGGGGCTTTATGTTTGGAGCAGAGAAGAATTATGTGCACTTGCAAAATGTAAATCATGCTTAGGAATTTGCTGTGCTCCTATTTCTTTTTTGTCCTTGATATTATTTCAGGATAATTCTCAAAAGCGCAAGGAAAACGTTACCTATCTTTTTTTTTTTTTAAAGGAACAAGTATGCACTGCACATATTCAAACTTCTGTGGTGTATGACTGTAAGATATTCATGTATGGAAATGGCATAACCATGAGTGGGTAGTGGCTCATCCATGCCCCCACCCCATCCCAGCTTTACTCCTTCTCCTGTGGGTCTGGTGTTCTTACTGGAGAGCAAAGTTGGGGTGCAGGGTCTTGCCCACTTGAGCTGGGGAGATGGGATGGGAGGGGGGTGTTAGGTCATGAGGCCTTGTCTGCTCTTACTTGGCACTCCTGTCAAGGTCCAGGGTCGGGGAATGGGGCTTACCCAATTCTACCCATCTGTGGTCCAGCTGTAGAGACTGGTTGGGGACTCTTTCTGCTCCTTCCACCTGGCACTCTTGCCCAGGAGCTGGACTGAGATACGGGAACTTGTAAAGCCCCTTTCCCCCCCTCCCCCCCCGCCCCCACCCAACCCTCAGTTC